AAGGATCTCAAAAAATCGAATTTTTTGTTGCAATGTATAGCGTAAAGTTGCAAAGTTTGATGAAAAAAAATATAAGAGAGATAGATAACACGTTGCACGCGAGTGATGAAGCACCAGAAAAACTGGTGCTACAAAGCATACCAGTAGACATGTAGAATTTAGAAATGTAAGAAGTAAGTAGAGCAAGAAAAAGACATTACACGCACAACACACAAAACTCACGCATATTACAACGCTATCATTCATATCCACATACATAATCCACAACACATTCATGTGCATATCAACGCTCAAGACGAAAAATGGGATTTTAGTCAAACTGAGATAAAATGAGTGGTGCAATAGATCGAGCAACTGTGACTTAAAAGAAAGATAGAAAGGAAAAAAGCTTTTTTACAAATGTACATATGATATATATATACATTGTTTAAGATTAATTCAAAATATCGCTTTATAAATGTAAGAATTCTTTCAGATTATTTCTGTGCAAATTCTCTCACTTATTTGTCTACATATGTATAATATACATAGTACAACTTCGTCATTCAATTTTATCTCCCAGAATTGTGCAATTCTTCCGCTTATGCATAAGCTATGACTCACCTTGCCAGCTTGTAACGTGAGTTTTTTCACAAAATCAAAACACTTCACAATGTCCAGATCGCACGACATGATTGCTGACTTCGAGAAACGTACCGGTATGGCTGATCGAGTTACCGTATTAACTACTATGAATGCGGATTTGTGTCTTATAGGTGCCTTTATCTCTGTAACCAATGCTATTTGATAGCGCAGATAACGTAGATAATTAAATCTCAACATTCGAAAGAACTGCGTGTATTTGTTGTACTATTATAACTAGGAGCTTGTCAGAGTTTATAAAAGGCATTAAAGCTTCTAGAAATTTGAAGTTTGTCAAAACTGATATAATGGAAAGAGAAATAATTTCACATGTTTGTTCTTTTTTTTTTTATACACGTAAGTGAAAAACGCCACATTCGGTCAAGGTGATTCTTCATATCTAATATTTCTTGTAAATTTATATTTATATACAATTTTCAGTTCAAGCTAACTATGCGTCGATTATTTGTCGATCTTGAAACACACTAACACATTTCTATATCGAAGCATTCACAAATTAAATTTACAATCAATTTAATATTATCATTGCAATAAACATCTCAAAAACTTTAAATAAATCATTTATTGTAAAAAATATTTTTTTTACTGACAGGTATTTATTTGTATAGTATTGTATTGTACATATATTGAATTTTTTTACAATACATTATATTTTATGCAATTATGCGTATTAATATCGTGTTTGTCACGTTGTAATAAGCATTATTTATCATGCAATTATAATTTATATTTATCAAATAGAGTGTCTATATTTACTGAATTAATATTGTAAAAAACGTTAAGATTATTCTAAGTATAGTAAATGCAATACTTATTACAGTTTGCAATTTGTTGCGATAACAAATTAGAAGTGTTAATGGTACTATTGATTACTTCTGACTGGCAAAAATGTTGTGAACTACGTGTCTCTGTGAAGCACCTCAACTTTAAAAATCGGAAATTTTAATAACAGTACTGCTTGCACCCGCAATAGTTCTAGAGTTCCTGATAGGTTTCATCAACAGTACTGTTGATTTAGGCCAAAAATTTTTAAAAATAAAAATATGCGGTGATAACTTCGCGTGGCACCGCAAGATTTGAAAAAGCCGATTTTTATGACGGAATCTCACAGTACTCGAAGAGTACTACAGTTCCTGATCGATTATAACAATAGTACCGACCATTAAATATTTTTAAATAAATTTTTAAAAAAAGATCTCGCATCTCAACTTTCAAAAAAATTATTCTTTTTGCGCCATTTTGTAGTACTCGAAGAATACTACAGTTCCTGATCGGTTTTAGTGACACTACCCACCTTTTTAATATGTTTAACAATTTTTCGATCCGCGCGGTGGCACCGCACGTCAAGAGTAAAGTGCCCCTAAACGGCCAATACTGGTCGACTTTTCGACTTTTTCCGACAGTACTACAATAGTTCCGAAGAAATATGCAGGTGTCGACCCGAGTACTCCTCGTTTAATACGTTTAAATAATTTTTTAAGTTTTCCGCTGGCACCGCACGACAAGAGTATAATGCCTCTAAACAGCCAGTACTCGCGTCAAAACCTGCATATTTTTTCGGAACTATTGTAGTACTGTCGGGAAAAGTCGAAAAGTCGGCCAGTACTGGCCGTTTAGTGGCACTTTACTCTTGACGTGCGGTGCCAGCGGAAAGCTTAAAAATTATTTAAACATATTAAACGAGGAGCACTTGGGTCGACACCTGCATATTTCTTCGGAACTATTGTAGTACTGTCGGAAAAAGTCGAAAAGTCGACCAGTACTGGCCGTTTAGGGGTACTTTACTCTTGACGTGTGGTGCCAGCGCGCGGATCGAAAAATTGTTTAAACATATGAAAAAGGTAGGTAGTGTCACTAAAACCGATCAGGAACTGTAGTACTCGAAGAGTACTACAAAATGGCGCAAAAAAAAATAATTTTTTTGAAAGTTGAGGTGCGAGCTCTTTTTTTAAAAATTTATTTAAAAATATTTAATGTCCGGTACTATTGTTATAATCGATCAGGAACTGTAGTACTCTTCGAGTACTGTGAGATTCCGTCATGAAAATCGGCTTTTTCAAATCTTGCGATGCCACGCAGTTACACGTGTAAAAGTTGTTCCAGACATGGCCAATGTATGATATGGATACCAACATTAACAAATATTAACGAATACATTGGCTACCAATGCTAGGTCAGTGTTATATGGTATATAAATATATAGTACGAACATGATTTACCAGAATTATCTATATGAATATAGGCCAATATTTAATGAATATACGTAAAGTTGGCGCACTTGGAGCCGTCTTTACACATGCATATCATGACTTAATTATAACAATGTTAGTAAGCTTGATGGGGAAAAGGAATTCGACTCGAGTAATTTATTAGTTATATTACGAGCACAGACAAAGTAGTAGCTATTGAGTGCTCGTTAGGACAAGTACCTATTCGGAATTTATGAGTCGCTTACAAATTAAAGTTAAGAAACATATATATTTTATATATATGAATAAAATAGTTCTTTATTAAATACGATTAATTTTTAATACTACTACGTACTTCAAAACATTTCTACTTGAATTATGCACGAGTTATAACAGACTTATTATGTATTTACGCCAGATAATTATTTACGAGATATGTAAAATATTGTTTATCATTATATTTGAGATATTAAGAAAATAACAAAGCGTAAATAATATTACTTACTATTCAGTAACCGTATGTGTGTGCTATTTCCTAATGCACTTTCAACATAGTTTGCTTGTCAGTAGGCTTGGTCAGGCCCGCTGTTACTCTCAAACTGCAAAGTATGCTCGTATGAACTGGCCTCGCGTGCTCTCTTACAATTAGCGTTATTAATCCCATACATGACCTTTACTTGTTCAGTACACTGATTTGTTATACTTATCGCGTCATAGCGATTTTCAGTATCTCGTGATTAAATGTATTGTACACTTTGTCTCGTTTGAAAATAATATTGCATGTGTCTTAACGTTATTTCTGTAAAAATAGTAAGTGAGGTAATGATATTAGTTGTTTTCTAAATATATAATTCATCAATTGTAATTTGTCTGCCAACTTGTAGAATGAACCTTCAGAAATAACATGATATCTGACTAATTTTATTGTACATGTGTCTTAGAATATAATGAATTTCAATCAACGAAGTGACATTAAAGACAATCTTTCATGTCTGGCAATCGATAATCCTCTCAATCATACGCAATTACAGAATATACAGCCTTGGTCATAAGTATAAAGTACCTCCATAAATAGATGTTCTATATATAACAAAAAATAAATTAAAAATGGTTTTATTGAAAAATAATTTATAAATTTAATATCTTATTAGTTTTCCTTAGATATTTTTATTGTCACGTTTTCGAAGAAAATGCAATTGATGGCGCTTTATACTTGTGATCCAGGCTAGTAATAGAAATATAATTAAAAAAATAATGAAATCATAAAAATATCTTAATTTATTAATTATAGTTTTGTATTTAGAATATTTGTTTACTATTTTTTAATGTATAACATTTATTGATAGTTTCATAGATAGTTTCATTGGTACATTTTTCTTCTTTTATGAATGATAATGTGTTCTTTAAACATTTAGTATACAAGGATTTAGTACAATAATTTAATTTTCAAAATATATCAGTAATTTTTTTCAAAATTTATAGTACTGTACACTGTTAAAATATTAAATAATGTAATTTGCATATACTGTTTTGTTTATCAGTTAATGTTTGTGATAGCTGTCTTGGTAACATGCCTCAGGAATGTGATATCATTTAGTTGGCAACGTGAACAAGGCGTAAGAACTTAACTTGTACTGTACACGCGAATATAATTCGATTAAATAAATACGTCTTAATTTACATGTGCCACGCAATCGCATCATGACTATATACATTTCTTTTACACCTGATCCTGTCGTGTTCACGTGCAACTTTTATCAGCGTGATGAAATTGACCGTTATTACTACCGTTGATCGAAACTATAATATAATGGGTATGTTAATCATCACGATATAAGACGCACGTGATGAACAATGCCATGTCAATGCTATTTTTGCAGATTTTTATCTCTGTGTAATTTTATATAGTTCTATAAATTTTGCAAACATTAGGAGTATTATTGTTATACGTAGACTTTATTTAGCTCTATTATTTTTTTAATTTTATTAAAAATATTTTGTCCATATTCTGTGTCATCAGATATGTTTAAATCTCTAGTATATATTTATATTAAAATATATTAAAAAGCAAATCGTGAATCATTTATTTAAAAATTTAATTTGATTTCCGAAAATATTCTTCTGTATTATAAATATCGACTTATGTAGGATTTTTCCTTTTTTTTACAGAATCAAGGCGGCCCCGTTGTACCTACCTCTCAAGGTCCTGGAGGATCAATGGTACCTGGACAAATGGGACCAAATGGACCACAAAGTGGATCTCATATGATGCAAAGTGGTCCCAACCAGATGGGTTCTAATGGACCCGGACAGATGGGTCCTGGTGGGCAAATGGGACCCGGTGGACCCGGCCAAATGGGTCCTGGAGGACCTGGACAGATGGGTCCAGGAGGCCCAGGACAAATGGGTCCAGGAGGCCCAGGACAAATGGGTCCAGGAGGCCCAGGACAAATGGGTCCAGGAGGACCTGGACAAATGGCTCCGTCACATATGGTACAAGGTGGTGGTCCTTCTGGTGGACCTCATATGAGTCAGGCTGGGCCAGGACAAATGGGTCCAACTAGTGGACCTGTTCCAGGATCTCAAATGGGTTCTGGAGGTCCTCAAAATTCTCAAATGGTTCCCGGTGGACCTGGGCCTGGCCATATGGGTGGACCTCCAAGTCACATGAACACAAGCGGTCCACCAGGACCAGGCCATATAACTTCTGGTGGTCCTCCCGGACATATGACTGGAGCAGGACCTCCAGTATCAGGACACATGAACGCTAGTGGGCCACCAGGATCAGGACATATGAACGCTAGTGGTCCTCCTGGACCAGGTCACATGAATACAAGTGGACCTCCTGGATCAGGAGGGCATATGAACAGCGGGCCACCGATTCCAAGTCACATGAATGCGAGTGGTCCACCAGTATCTACACACATGAATGCGAGCGGTCCAGGAAGTCATATGGGTCCTGGTGCTCCTGGTCAAATGCCCACAAGTGGTCCTGTAGTGCACAGTATGGGTCCAGGAGGTCCGAATCAAATGGGCCCGAATGGTCCGAATCAAATGATGGCAAACAGTCAAACACAAATGGGGCCTAGTGGACCGATGGGTCCCGTTGGACCAACAGGACAAATTGGACCAAATGGACCTGGACAAATGGGTCATAATGGGCCGTCACAGATGGGTCCGAATGGACCTCAAATGGGCATGGGCGGTCCACCTGGACAAATGAGTATGAATGCACCGGGCGGACAAATGGGCCCTGGCGGACCTGGTAATCAAATGGGACCTACAGGGGCAGGTAATCAAATGGGACCAAGCGCACCAGGCAGTCAAATGGTACCAACCGGTCCAGGTGGACAAATGGGACCAGGAAGCGGTCCCGTAGGTCAATTAGGACCTAATAGTCTTGGACAAATGGGTCCTGGAAGTGGTCCAGGTAGCGTACCAATGACAACAAGTAGTGGACCTGTTTCTATAGGACCCAATGGACCTACCGGAATAGTAATGAGTGGCCCTGGTGGACAAATGAGTTCTAGCAGCGGTCCTGGAGGACAAATAGGCGCAGCAGGTCCTGGAGGTAGCTCTGGAGGACAAATGGGTCCAGGAAACGGTCCTGGAGTACAAATGAATGTTGGCAGTGGACCTGGCGGTCAAATGGTGCCCGGAGGCGTACCTGGACAAATGGGATCAGGCAGTGGACAAATGGGACATGGTGGTACTGGACCTGTAGGTCAAATGGGACCAGGAACTGGACCTGGTGGACAAATGGGGCCAGGCAGTGGTCCTGGTCAAATGGGACCAGGCGGACAAATTCCATCAAGTGGTCCAGGACAGTTGATGCAAGGAGGTCCGGGTGCTCAAATGGGCCCAAATGCTTCGAGTAATCAAATGGGTCCGAATAGTCAAATGGGACCGTGTGGTCCAAATAATCAAATTAGTCATACAAATGCAACTGGGCAAATGGGACCTAATGGACCAAATATTCAGCCTCCTACTACTCAAATAGGTCCTGGTAGTCAAAATCAGGGTCAAGTTCCCGGTAGCACAGCACCGTTAGGATCGGGTGCTCCAGTAAATCAAATGAGTCAAACTGGAAGTGGACAAATTGGTCCTACTGGACCTACAGGACCACCTGGATCAGGACAAGAAAATCTGAACGCTCTTCAAAAAGCGATCGATTCTATGGAAGAAAAGGGCTTACAAGAAGATCCACGATATTCTCAATTGTTAGCCTTAAGAGCTCGTCAAGGCAGTGGTATGGGTGACAAGCAAGCCTTCAATTCACAACAATTGCAACAATTACGGTATATAAATTATATTATAACAATTATATATTATATATAAAATAATTTTTTAAATATGAAAATTATGAAAAAAATAATTACAAAGAAAAATGTATAAGTCTAAATTTAATGTAAATGCGAATAAAAAACGGTCGTACGAACATGTTTAAATTATACGTGATTTTAATTTTCTAAAATAATAATTTAATTGATTAAGTTATTTTGTACATATTTTTAATATGTTTGTACATATTGTACGAATTTTTAATATTTTTAACTTAAGATATATATAAATATTTTTTCTACATTTCTTTTTTTATTTCGTAGTCTTAATTTTTTCTCATATTCTTACAGAGCTCAGATAATGGCATACAGATTGTTGGCAAGAAACCAGGCTGTACCTCAACAGGTTGCACTAGCTGCTCAAGGTGAGTTAATATATCTCTATATATAAGCTTATAAACTCTGGGTGACTACTCTATCTTTTGTATTGCTTTCTGCCACATAATTTGTTTTGCTTATTTTAAATTAGAGCTTTTCTAGTTTATATGTTTGTTTTTCTATTTTACATCTATTTGCTTTATTATATATTGTTTTAATATTATAAGTTTACATAAAAAAATTAACGACTTATTTCTTGAACATTGTATATCATTTATAATTCATTAGAAATTTGTATACGCTACTGTTATATAATATTTTATTTTAAATGCTTTTATCTTCTTGAGTATACATTATGTTAAATACTTTCTGCTTAATTTCCATTTCTGCTCAGTAACTTTATGTATTAGAGTGTGTAATTACAGAAATTATGCTTACTGATAGATTATAATATTATATTTAGTAACGTATAATATAATGAGTGTGAAACGAGACAAATATATAGTGGTACTTACAAAAGTAGGGTAGAATGATCCTGATTTAAGGCGGATTTGAATAGGTGGCGCGCCTCCTCCTCCAGGGATGAGTCAACGCCCCATAGATCCGTCTCAAGGCCCTGTTACAACATCTGGGCCACAAATACCAGGTCCGAATGTTATTGGTCCCACAGGTGTTCCTAGACCAGGCTGTCAAACGCCGCAACAACAGCAACAGCAACCTCAGTCCGGCGCTAAGGCTAACAGAGTGACAAGTATAGCAAAACCTGTAGGATTAGATCCGTTATTAATATTGCAAGAACGAGAAAACAGGTAGAGACAAGACGAACTATTGTATTAATGATAAAAACCATATTTTTATGAAAAAAATTTAATGCTTGGTAACAGAGTTGCAGCCCGAATATCGCTTAGAATGGAGCAACTTGGCAATCTACCGACAAATATGCCAGAAGATCTTCGTATACAAGCTCAAATTGAATTACGTATGCTGAGAGTACTAAACTTCCAGAGACAATTAAGATCAGAGGTTCTAAAATTAAATAATTTATGGATTTGTCATTTTATATGAAGTTATGGAAACTCTTATTTATTCTTTTTAATACTTTCGATCTTTTTTTTAAAGATTATAGCATGTACTCGAAAAGATACCACTTTAGAAACTGCGGTAAACGTGAAGGCTTATAAACGTACAAAACGGCAAGGTTTGCGTGAAGCTAGAGCTACTGAAAAATTAGAAAAACAACAGAAATTAGAAGCAGAACGTAAACGAAGACAGAAACATCAAGTAAGAATTTATTTAATTATACTTAAATCGTAAACTTTGAATGTCATTATATAGTATTATCATTAGCAAGATTATCGCTGTCAATAAACGAATACACATTTATGTTTGCAGGAATTTCTTAGTTCTGTATTACAACATGGCAAAGACTTTAAAGAATTTCATCGCAATAATGTCGCAAAATTGGCTAGGCTTAACAAAGCAGTGCTTAATTATCACGCGAATGCTGAACGGGAACAGAAGAAAGAACAAGAACGCATTGAGAAAGAGCGTATGCGTCGTCTTATGGCGGAAGATGAAGAAGGATACAGAAAATTAATTGATCAAAAGAAGGATAAACGTTTAGCATTCTTGTTATCCCAAACCGATGAGTATATCAGTAATCTTACGGAAATGGTTAAGCAACATAAAATTGAGCAAAAGAGAAAGCAAGTCGAAGAACAAAAGCGTAAGAAGGTAATATAAATTTAACACTAGCTGTTCTTTTATAACAAAGTGCCTATAATATTGATGGAGTTCTATGATTATGTAGAAAAAGAAGAAATTACAAGATAGTGAGAATGCTGAAGATGGTGGAGCCAATGACGATACTCGTATTGGTGTAATAGAAACAGCCACTGGTCGCACATTAACTGGCGATGAAGCACCATTAATGAGTCAATTATCAGCATTTTTAGAGGCTCATCCCGGGTGGGAGCCAATTGACTCAGATAGTGAGGACGATGAGGAGGATGACGAAGAGGAGAATGGAGAAAGTGAGGATAAATCCTATAGTAAATAAGTTTAATCTTTAGATTTAAGTACAAATCTTTTAACTTATAAAATATTAATTAAATAGGCAAAGATAAATCAATGGGTGATTCTGAAGAAGAAAAGGTAAAGAAAACGATACATAAAGCGAAAGTGGAAGATGACGAATATAAAACAGAAGAACAAACATACTATAGTATTGCTCATACGGTTCATGAGGTTGTTACTGAACAAGCAAGTATTATGGTGAATGGAAAGTTGAAAGAATATCAAATTAAGGTTAGTTCTTAATTTTAATTATTTTTTTAAATATAATTTTAGTTTTATAATATATTTTAAACATATATAAGCTCACAGTTCTTAATGATTGAAAGAACTTAATGAATGCTTTTAGGGTCTGGAGTGGTTAGTGTCATTGTTTAATAATAATCTGAATGGTATTTTGGCAGACGAAATGGGTCTCGGTAAAACAATTCAGACTATTGCTTTAGTAACATATCTTATGGAAAAGAAGAAAGTCAACGGTCCATTTCTCATCATTGTTCCTTTATCGTATGTTTCTTTCCTGCTTTTAAAAACGCTGCAAATAATTAATTTAAGTAATAATGTTAATATATACTTCTAGGACATTATCAAATTGGGTTCTTGAATTTGAAAAGTGGGCACCAAGTGTTGTCGTAGTGTCGTACAAAGGTTCTCCAGCTGGCAGAAGAGCAATACAATCTCAGATGCGAGCTACAAAATTTAACGTCCTTTTAACAACTTATGAATATGTTATAAAAGATAAAGGTGTATTAGCCAAATTGCAGTGGAAATATATGATTATTGATGAAGGACACAGGATGAAAAATCATCATTGCAAACTTACCCAAGTGTTGAATACACATTATTTGGCTCCTCATCGACTATTGTTAACTGGTACACCATTGCAAAATAAATTGCCAGAACTGTGGGCTCTTTTGAATTTCTTGTTACCTTCAATCTTCAAATCCTGCAGTACATTTGAACAGTGGTTCAATGCTCCTTTCGCAACCACTGGCGAGAAAGTAAGTATTTTGCACAAACATATTTTAATACAGCTCTATTTCACATTATTGTTATCTTGTTTAGGTGGAGCTGAACGAAGAAGAAACTATTTTGATTATTCGTCGTTTGCACAAAGTATTGCGGCCTTTCTTGTTGAGACGTTTGAAGAAAGAAGTAGAATCGCAATTACCCGACAAAGTGGAATATATTATCAAATGCGATATGTCTGGCCTACAGAAAGTTCTTTATAAGTACGTAAATATATCATATGTGCTTAACTTCATTATAAAATTAATTTGTATAAGCATAGTACATAAACAAACATTTTCTTCTAGACATATGCAAAGTAAAGGAGTGCTACTAACAGACGGATCGGAAAAAGGAAAGCAAGGAAAAGGTGGTGCCAAAGCTCTTATGAATACAATCGTACAGCTGAGAAAACTATGCAATCATCCATTTATGTTCCAAGCTATAGAAGAGAAATACTGCGAACATGTAGGCACTGTAGGTTCTGGTGTTATTACTGGGTATGTATCTCGAAAATTGTTGACTACTTTATATATGTGTAACATAAAACATTAAGTTTGTATTTGTTATTAGGCCCGATCTATATCGTGCATCTGGAAAATTTGAACTTCTTGATCGTATTCTTCCTAAATTAAAAGCTACGAATCACAGAGTATTACTATTTTGTCAAATGACACAATTAATGACAATTATGGAAGATTATTTAGGTTGGCGAGGATTTATGTATTTACGACTGGATGGTACAACGAAAGCGGAAGATAGAGGAGACCTGTTAAAGAAATTTAATGATCCCGGTTCGGAATATTTCCTTTTCTTGCTATCCACACGTGCCGGTGGTCTTGGTTTAAATCTTCAAGCTGCTGATACAGTTATCATCTTTGATTCTGATTGGAATCCTCACCAGGTTACATGATATTAATATTGATTACAATAAATCATTCATGCGATATTTAACTTGAAATTGATTTACATATATTTGCAGGATTTACAAGCTCAAGACAGAGCACACAGAATCGGACAGAAGAACGAAGTGCGTGTACTCCGATTAATGACCGTTAATTCCGTTGAAGAACGGATATTAGCAGCAGCTAGATATAAATTAAATATGGACGAGAAAGTCATTCAAGCTGGTATGTTCGATCAGAAGTCTACTGGTTCTGAGCGACAGCAATTTCTTCAGAGTATTTTACATCAAGACGATGCTGAAGATGAGGAAGAGAACGAAGTACCCGACGATGAGACTGTAAATCAAATGATTGCTAGGACTGAAGGTGAATTTGAGAAATTCCAGAAATTAGATTTGGAACGGCGACGTGAGGAGGCCAAATTAGGTCCAAATCGCAAATCACGACTGCTAGAAGAAGCTGAGTTGCCTGATTGGCTGGTAAAGGATGACGATGAAGTGGAAAGATGGACCTATGAAGAGGACGAAGACAGATTCCTTGGAAGAGGTTCAAGGCAACGTAAAGAAGTTGATTATACAGATAGTTTAACCGAAAAAGAATGGTTGAAGGCAATTGATGATGATGGCGCAGAGTATGAAGAGGAAGAAGAAGATGATAAAAAGAAAAAGAAAACACGGAAACGTAAGAAGAAAGGCGAGGAAGATGATGAGCCTATACCGAAAAAACGAAGAGGTGCCGGATCTTTGGTCGATCCGAAAATGAAACGGGCTATGAAAAAATTAATCACAGTAGTTGTTAATTATACCGACAGTACCGATGGCCGATTATTGAGTGAACCTTTTATGAAATTACCTTCACGAAGAGAATTACCCGACTATTATGAGATTATTAAAAAACCTTTAACTATTAATAAATTATTGCAGAAAATTGAAGAGGGCAAAGTAAGTATTTACTACATTCTTTCATGCTTTCTTTTTTTATACATCTATAATTCAATAATTTTATTATTTTCCAGTATGCTGATTTAGATGAGCTGGAAAAAGATTTCATGCAACTTTGTAAGAACGCTCAAATTTATAATGAAGAAGCGTCACTAATTCACGAAGACTCAATAGTGTTACAATCTGTTTTTACAAATGCACGTCAGCGTCTTGAAGAGGAAGGTAATAATTCTGACGGAGATGACAAAGGTATAAATATTTTATTATGTTATTATATAATTATTTAGTAAACACTAAATTTCTTTTTCTTAATACTTTTTTAATATATTTTTTTATTGCACAGATGGCGAAGACGGCTCGGATGCGGATTCCAGTGTAAGAATGAAAATTAAACTAAAAGGAAGAAAAGGTGAAGGAAGAGGCGGTCGTAGAAAAAGAGTTACTAAAAAATATATATCTGACGATGATGATGATGCTGATGATAATTAAGAAGTATTATGTTGCTTCTTGAAAAAACTATGGGAAATATAATTTAAGTATTTAATCTAATTATTTGAATTATGTTACATCTTAAATAGCAAAATCTTATAAAAGTACAACCAAGAATTGTATGTATGCAACTTAATTACAGCAGTGAAGCAAACACTGCTATATTATTGTAAACTTTTAATGTGTTGTTAACTTTTATAATTAGTGAACTTATTGATAAATTGACGAATGTTATCATAAATCTATTTAGATATATTGTATCTCAATACTGTAAGAACGGACATAATGTGGTAATTTTTATTTCGGATAAATTTGCGAGTAGTAAACAACTACAACATATTGTACAGAAAAAAGATTAGCATTAAGATTTATTTCGGATATCGTTTCAATCTCTCTATTTTTATGAAGTCTGATTGAATATTATATTTGAACTCCAATCGCTAGGTTTTATTTCGAGTTCACGTTCTTTATTTCACTATTGGGAGTAGATTTTTATGCGTTCCTCTATGCCTCGCCGCAGTATAATATATGTTAGATTTCTGCAAGTGATCATAGATACACGCAGTATGTAAAAAAAATTCTTAGTTTGCTGAAATGTATCATGTCATCTTTTTGCAAACATTCTGCAACACAATTATGGGTACATTGAGAATGTTATACAATTATTATAAAAAATCAATAATTTATTATCATTGGCACCGTTATCAAACCAATCTATATTTTAATTTTTAAATCTCTGTCTCACATCTAGATGTCATTATAAAATTTGACCACATAAATATTATGATAGTATACACTGTATATATTTTGATAATTTCTTTTTTAAATAATTAATCAAAATGAAAATTAAACAGGAATTGAATTTTTTATTTGTTAATATTTTTTATATTTATATTTGGTAAACTTAAAAATATTTAAATCATAGCTTTTTATTTAAAAAAAATTAATCTTACCATAACCTTATTATGAAACTTTTCCAATCATGTAATTGCTTTTGGAATAAATTCATTAGCTTGTAATACATTATTAATTATCATATAGATCAACACTGTATCATATTACTAATTAATATTTTCGACAAATTTTATTATAAGCAATTTAATTTTGTTAAATGCAATAGTTCTCTTTTTTTTTGTTACTTGACTTAGATCTGTTCTCTATGGCTGAATTGCTACACATTTTTGTGAGGTGAACTATTTCATCTATGTATATGTTTGATATTTGGCAAAAGAACGAGAAACAGAGTTTTAATGTAGTGCAGAATAAAAAAACGAACATTTTCTTATTTCTTATGTTTGTCAAATTTAATTATTGTTTATTTCTTCGCGGCAAAATATAAGGGCTATTACTTGTCAACCTTTAGAAGAGGATCGAGTTGATCAATGCAGCGAATATTCTGTATATAATTGCCACGTGATAATGATTTTAAATATTATACAAATAAATATGTATCTTTGATATGATATATTCATTTTATTGATGATGAATATATTGATATCTAGAATACGATATCTAGAATATGGTATTTATCATGGTATATTTATACTAGAATTTCAATTTTTTGATTGTTTACATACGGGTTAAGGTAAGCCATTATAATAACGAATTTATCGTAATTTCTTCGAGGTTTTTAGTGACAACAATAAATGTAATTCTTCTGTATCCAAATGTAACATATAATCGAAAAGTATTCACAAAATATATTATAGTGTACTGAATCAGCTGAGTTAGGTATAAGTAAATAATGCGTGAATAAAGAGTAAGATTTGTGAGAAAGCGGATAAAAAAATCTTACAAGTTACAATTTCTCTATGTGAAATTACTCTTTCTCTAAATAAAAAGTTACACTCTTTATATAAGCTCACGTCTTGATTTGATTAATTTAATAATTGATTTTAACAAATATTTATTTTTGGAATCTTTGAAATAATGTTTCTTTGCTAAAGACAAAGATTATATGTATAAATATTACATAAACATATATATAATTTATAACAATATGGATTGATTTAAATTTTAATTTATGAAATTAAAAATTATTAGTAAACCTACTTAAGAACTAACTGCATCTAACGTGGTTTAACGACACTATCTTGTTTGTAAAGAGAACACATTTCATCAAATTTTTATTCCATAATTAACGAAAAACAATATTTATTATATTTATACTAAATTATAATTTGTTACATTAAAAAATTGCAAATTATTAAATATAACGGAAGATAGAACATTTAAAAAAATTTGTCCCGATTTTTCGTAACTCACTAATTTCTAACATATCAAATATCTTGGTAATTAAATCGTTAGTAAAATTTTTCTTAAAGTCTAATTGCATCTTTGGAGTTCGATTTTGTGAAGAAACTGTTTATCGTTATCTGTATTCTAATAGTATCTCTCTATCTTGTATTACAGATATCGATTATTCGATATTTTTGGTAAGAAAGAGTCACATCGATCTCATCGTTTGAAATATTTAACTTGAGTTCTTTGTACGCGCTCTGTGATATATGTATTTAACATTTCATCCCATTTTACTTGGTATACTCGCAATTTAATTAAATGTCAGCCATGTAGCGAATGAAACTGGTATTTCTCTTTTTTGAAGAGAAAATATAACTTACTTTTTTCTACAGGATGGGAATATTATATTTTGTGCTCTATTGAGTTTACGCGAGAAGGAAGAGGGATATTTAAAAAGCGGCGAGACAGTGGTAAGCGTCGTTCCTTGTTGGCCTTTGACCTGACGTGTGTCTGGCGAGCTAGAACCGTTGCTTGTCGCAGATCCCATGCGCGCCTGTTGGTGGCAATTTCAGCTCTGTTTTGAATTTAGATGGAATTTAAGCAAGCTGTTACGGTCTAGTCGCCTTCTCCGCTATATCCCCATTCGCATATTTATTCGTAACACGTATGTATATGTTTATATATGTCCATAATTTGATTGACAAACACTATTTTTTGTAGATCTTAAACTAAAGACTTGATGATAAAATATATTATTTCTTAATAAGAAGACGTTATCGTCAACGTATTGAACCTATAACATATATATGTACAAGTTTCAATTTCTTAAATCAAGCAACGTTAGGCGACGTGATTTACATTTACTTATATTTATATGAATAGATGATTGTTTGAAATACTGTGTACTACTGGTGTCTTTTTAAAAATTTGTTATTTTATGTGGTCTTTAATTTTACTTTGTTTTATTTTATGTATACTATTATTTTAATTAGTTACATTAATATATATTTTTTATTAATATAAAAAAATTAATAGTACGAATATAATATAAACAATAGAGATGTAATACTAATGCATAATTTAAATTTTATATATATGATGTATCTGTGTTATAGAAGCAAAAGTACTTTTAAAACGGTATTTATATTTCTTTGAGATCGATATAATTATCCAAAATCACAGTTTTATTTTGTCTAAAACCAGTTATTGTTATCAAGAACGATAAATCAAAATGTCGGACTTCAGTTTATTTAAATTAACAGTGAAAGAATTAGATCTCGTCATTTAAGTTTTATTAAATTACTATTCAATTACATACATTTTTTCACTTATACTTAATGATATTTTTGGCCTAATGAAAAAAAAAGCAGACGCTTCGTATAAAAATTGTATAATGAATTTAATGCGTTCTGCTGTTATGCCGTATGTTATTTGTTGTTTTGTCTGAATGAGTTTTTCTTCTCGGAGAGAAGTTCCTTTCGAAAGGAGAACAGCGACGGTGGAAGGGAATAAATTGCTACCGCGTCTGATCGTATATAAAGCTTACCTCCTTGAATGGTTACTACTCGTGATTCGGCCCGATATCTCGTGGCATGCCATACGGGAAATGAGAAGAATGAAGAAGAGAAGGTGAACTCGTGCGTCATCGTTATTTTCTCTTTTCGTTCTCGCCTATGGCGATCAATTGCGGATGAAGTGGCAGAAATTCGCGCGTGACGGGGTTACACCAGAACGATTTAGAAACATTGATCCTTTTTCGAGACCTTTTACAATTATCAAAATAAAATTAATGAGATATATAAAAAATTATAAGTAAAAGAAGAAAATTGTTAGATAATAAATTAATAATAACTAATAAAGAGAATGAAACTTCAAGATTACTTTTTTTTATATAAAAATTCAAGCTCGCATGAAAATTATTTTTTTTGTCATTTATTGTCTATTTATTTTTATTCCATCATATGTGTGTGTATGTTCTTCAACCGACATTTTTAAAACTTTGAAGAACACTGGTTGTTCTTAGTATTACTATCGCCACAAAACATCGCTTGCCATATCAGCTTTTTTTCTCTTTCAAGCTGATCTAAGTGATGTACACGTCGCGGTATACGAAGCTTCAGGCGGAAACAAATACAGACGCTGTACAAAATCAATAGTTGTATACTACGATACACATATAGTCGGGAGCGATTCGAAGGATATGCCGTCCGTGCACCTAGAAACGATGAACAGTATCATTTTCTCGTTACGACGATTGAGAGCGCGAAAGTTCCTCTAAAGTGAGGTTTAAGCGAGATAGAAGGCATTTGTCTTCTTTCACGATAACATCGAAGTGGTTGCGATTGCGAATCGCGTTGTTATAAATGATCCGATAATATGTTTTTGCAATATGATTTAGCTATTTTTAACAAAGTATATCTTTCTATTTTTTTTTAGCTGCTGTGGCGAGAAAAATAATCAATTAATACATTCGTTGAAAACAATTCAACGAATGTATTAATAATTTATGTTTGTTAAATTTTTAATTTTTGAATTAGTTGAGTTGTGCGAAACGTAAGATATAGTACCTATAATCTTATTGTTCGCATTCATAAAAATATTCCTTTGACATTTTATTGTATAACTTCTTTTTCTAAATTGAAGAATTCAAGAGAAGAATTGCATTATATTCTTTATTTTATCACACATATGCAGTATACCGTGTATGCATATTTTTAACTTTTTTGTTGCGCTACGCGGTATTGAGAAACAAACGTTTGTTCAAATGCAATTAAATGTGCAAAAGCGTCGGTCGGAACGAATGTCCCGTTTGAAGCAAATGATGTTCCAGGAAATGAATAGCAGTCACGATAACTTCT